ACTATATAAGTTCTTTATGATAAGAACCAAATTTTGTATTTTTTTCTCATAAGATATAGCTCAACATTGCGAACTCTCAATAGATAAGCAATACATACTGATTGAGTAAAGATTCCTCAATAAGTCCAATTTATTAATTTGTTCATCTAAAAAACATGTTGAGCCCCAATTCATCAACCACGTTCCCAGTTTCAAATATTGGCATGATGGAAAACAGCTCTTGTCTTCAAAGAGAATATGGGGAGGCAAATAACAACTATATGACAGTGTGCTAAAGGCTGACATGAGCCTACAGGTACTTAAAGAATATATAGAAAGAGTACCTAATCCATACCAGATGTAACAGAAGGTATCCCCAAGGAAGTGGGATACCTTGAGCTGATTCTTGAAGGACAAGGAGATTTTAGCCTGCTAAAGAAGCAAACAGAAAGGTGTTTCAGGCAAAGAAAACTGGACATTAAGGTCTTCTGCTATTAGAAGGCCAGAACCAGAAGGCCAGCAAATTCTAGCTGGGCATGGTGGTTAATACCTATAATCCCAGTGACTTGGGAGGCAGAGGCAAGAGGATCACAAGTTCGAGGCCAATCTAGGCAAAACTAGTGAGACCCTATCTCAAAAATAAAAGGACTAGGGGTGTGGTTCAAGTGGTAAAGGGCAAGGCCCTGAGTTCTGTCCCAGTACTGCAAAAATACAAAAACAAAACCAAAAAACAGGCAAACACAAAAAAACCCACATAAGAAAATTCTATCTTTGTTTAAGGGTATCAGTTACTAGATAGTTTAGAATAAATCTTCTGGTCATCTTGGTTAGTCTTAGGTGTTTCTACTCTTATCAGGCATTATGGTAGGTATCCAGCTCTAGCTGGAGAGAACTTGACTCTGGATTCTGCTTCTGTCTCTTTAACATTAGGAATGTTCTATGCCACTGAAAAAACAGACCAGAGACTCATTTCACATCAAGATGCAGGGTGAGGTATAGAATATTAGACTAACATCCAAGAAGACTATAATTTCTCTGTCCATAAGTAATTGAATTTCTAAGTAATAATGGGACACACACATACACACCCCAGAATGTCATTTAGAGGTGCATACTAAACTAGCCAAGGTATATAAAGTATTACGCTTCAGACTGAACAAAATTAGAACTTGTTTGGATAAAGTCCAACCATATACTATTAGGTATAATAGTCATTCAAATTTTATACAAAGTATTTCCACTCACTTTTAGCATAATCTGCTTTACTGGATTGTTAAGATCTGATATTCAATGCAGATTGGCAAGGTGACTAATATTACTAATATCACCTGTGGAAAAGCAGGATTTCCTAGCATAATGTAAGCACAAGGGTTTGGCTCAGTAAAGCGGTGGCAGCTGGTGTGCAGTGTGAGCAGACAGCTGTCTAGGAAGCCACTGTCTCCTGGCAACCGAGGAAAACCCATATCAAGGATGAAATATACCCTCTGTCTTGCCAAGTCCTAGTGCTGGCAACTTGTAAGGATGTTAGACATTTAGAAGTTTTTAGAAAAATGTAAGTACTCTGATGTAAATCTTAGAACCTTTTTCAGATACCACAACCCAATAGAAACATACACGGTGAATTTTGGTACATAGTATGAAGTCTTTATACATTCCTTGAACACTGCACTCAAATGAATCTACAGAGGATTATAATAAATAAAATAAAGGCCTTTGTCCCTCCCGCTTTAAATTTTACTTGGTTTGTGTATCTTTAATGCTTGAGCATTTATACTGACTTGCTCTTTCCTTTCATGTAGCTGCGGTACAGAAAGTAATTCGTTGGAACATTTCTTTATGATTCTTTCTCTTCCTGAATTAAATGTTCCACTATTAATGCATAAGGCTAATAAAGACAAAAAAAAACAATAACTCTAGGTACAACACAGATCCCATAGTCACTGTGAAATGAACAGACTCAAAGATCAGAGATCATTACCATGCCAGTACTGTATGCATCATACAAGATCCAACTTCTTATGTTAGGCCCCTAAGATCTATTTCATGACTCATTTGAATTCTCATTTTAAGATCTTATGAGTCAGGACTAATGGAGAGAAGAGAGGAAAGTTATAGCATCATAGACCTTGCTTCTTGGAATAGTCTGAAATTCTAACATCAATAACCTTTCCTTTTTAATGTTTAAAATTCTTTATTTTAAAAGATATCTTACAGTAAAATTGACCCCTTTGGTGCCTAGTTTTACAGATTCTACCACATATGTGTAATTGCTGCCATAATCAGGCTATTAAAGTTTGTAATCTTATTTTAAGAGCAAATATTTTTCATTATCAATTCATAGCAGTAAGGTGGTAAGCACTTTTAAATATGCATTCCCAAGTATTAGAGGAATCAGAGTCAAATGAAAAGGTACCAAAAAAATGCTAGAAAGAAAAGAAAAAGAGAAAAAGGTACTAAGGAAAAGAAAATATAAAACAAGTGATATGAACCTAAACTCCTTTACAGTTTTATAAATTTGCATGTAAGGATTAAAGTTCACTTTGATTCTATGCCCGTCTTTCGAGAACTAGATGAAAAGCAGTAAATTATATTGCATATGTAAAACATACAGATAGCAGTCATATTGTATTTTTCAAGTAAATGGCTACCACTATAAAAACTGTTTCAAATAAGTAAGGAGTGTTTTCTCTACCTATTGCTGTGAGTGACCAGAGATGAATGAATCCTTTTTGTCCTGGGAAGCATATAGATGAAACTTTTTGAATCAAGTCCAAACAACTTTTTAAAATATTATCATAAGTCTTGATAACATTCCTAAAGTGAAAGGACTTCTCCAATGCTTTGTAGTGGATGACATAAGTCAAATAATTTAAAAGCAAGACTTTTTATGAAGGTTTCTGGGTATACAAGCTTTATATCTGTACACATTGGGAGTAGAGCCTGCAGTTATAAAGCATCCTCAGGACTTCTGAATATTCTACAAATGCCTGACACTGTCATATGTTGACATGTAGACCTTGGAGTTTTGCCAGAGACAGATGAAGCTCTAATCCTGACAATCCAGGTAAACAAAAGCTTTGATTACTTTACCTCCTTCATGAAATTCCTAATAATGGTATTGTTTCAATAGATACTTAGGTTCTTATCAAGCCTCAAATGACCCTAAATATTCAAACTTCCAGTTTCAGAAACATCAGTGAAACAACCTAATCCTCTTGTGTCATGTCACTGGTTGGCAATGGAACCTAGACCAGAGTCCTAGTACTCCCACTGTTATCACAGATAGTGATAAATCCCCAGACTTTTATGTATCACTTGAGATTCGCATGCCTCCTACAGGAGGAAGGGTTTGATATTGGTTTATAGCCTTGACTCCAGTTCCCAAATTGTAAATAATTTTTATGAAAACATGTCAAAGTTCAACCTAATATATTACTCGATAAGAATAGAACATAGCAGATATGTTCCTTAAGCTATCTATTAAGTTCAGTGACACTGCCTTCTGTATGCTGACAAAAAATATTTTCTTTGATATAAAGGAACTTAAACCCAGATTTCTTCAGGTTTTGTATGGCTTCATTTTTCAACTATATGTACTTAGTGGGATATATTCTAAGGACCAAAAAAGCTTCAGATAAATACTAAACCCTCATTTGGCATCTTTGTTATTATAGTTGTTGTTGTTGTTCTGGGATTTGAACTCAGGATCTCTCACTTGCTAGTCAGTCACTCTACCACTTGAGCTATGACCCCCAGCCCTAGTATCTTTATTATTAATAGACTTATTGGCATTATTATTTTGGAGCACTTATGTGAGTTTTTATTGTGATAAAATAAGTTTTTAAAAATCAAATGGAGTAAAACTAATACAGAAAAGAAACTATTCATGGTGGAGCAGTAACACAAGAAGCATTTTTACTAAAGTAGTCAACAAGACAAGAATGCCCATATAGCCACTACAGCTAATACAATTAGGTAAGAAAAAGATGTTAGAAGTATAAAAACTGAAAAGGAAAGAGGAAAAATTTGCAAACAATAATGGTTGTTTTCCAATACAGCAACTAAATTTTACCGTAAGAGAACTCAGTAAGGTACCAGTGAACAAAAATATGTAGAAATTGATAGCTTTCATCTCTTCAGACTACATTGAAACAGAAAATGCAATAAAAGAAGAAAGACCCACTTACAATAGCAACAAAAATTTACAAAATAATTTTAAGAAATCTAAAAAGAGAAATGCAAAAGTACATTTTAAAAACTCTGACAACACATGTTTACAAAAGAGACAAGCAAATGGAAAGACACAACTTCTTAAAAAGAAATACTTATCATTATTAAAGCTCATTAGCCAGGTATTCATAACCCAGCAGTTATAAGGCAGAAGGATTGCCAGTTTGAGGCCAGCCTAAGATAAACAATGAATCCCTGTCTCACAAAATCAAAAACCAAAAACCAACCAAACAAAATACGCTTGTTTTTTAAGTCAATTAGTAAATATAATCAAATTCCTATAAAAATTCTTCTGTTTGCTTTGGTTTTCTCTCTCACGTTTTTTTTTTTCAAGTAGAAGTTAATTTTAAAGTTCATATAAGAAAAGGAAACACACAAGATTAGCCAGGAGACATCAGAAAAAAAGAAGACCGAATAGTGGCCACCAGCACTGTCAGATTAATTGAAATATATTTAAAAGCTTCAATAATTAATGCAGTGTAGTATTAGTGTGTGAAAGGGAAATAGTCAATGGAACGAGAATAGGAAAATCCAGAAATACACTCTAAAATACCCAGGAACTTAGTACAAAGTTTCATCTCAAGCCAACGGGGCAAAGATAAACCATTCAAAACCCTTTTTTTTGGTGGTACTGGGGTTTGAACTCAGGGCCTTGACCTTGTTAGGCAAGCACTCTACTGTCCCCACCCCTCAATAAATACTTTGAGTCCTGTTTGTATTCACATTATTGTTCTGCTAGCTTTTCAATGTAAGGAGATAGATCATCAATTGAAAATATGATTAACTTGTACCTGTTGCAGATAGTATCGGGAACATGTATCTTCAGGTCTTCTGTGACATCTTTCATTACCCTTTGGTAACCAGACATTCTTTGGTCTTTAATATAATAAGGATTGTTTCTCATTAAATATTCCCCCAAATAATTAATTGGGTCAAACTTGATTGGAATATCAGCTTTTGCTGAAAGAGTCTTCTTTTCTAATTGTACTAACATTTTTTCAACCCCAGGAACCAAGGTGGGTAGGAGCTTATCCAGCAAATATGCACGGGTAGTCAGTGTCATGCTTTCAGTATTAAACCATTCTTTGGCCAAACTATCCTTAGGGAGTTTTTTTTCAGCCTTTTTTTCTAGCTCTTTCTTCAGATTATCCTTCTCTATTATTTTCTGTTGCATTGCCTGGGCTCTTGCCTCCACTCTTTCAAAAAGATTTTTCTTCCATGGTTGCTCTAGCTTTGATTTCAGTTCAGATTCATCTAAACCAAAAATCACTTTTGCAGGTTTTCTAATCACAACATTTCCTGAGATTTTGGCATCAGAGTCCTTAGCTGAACCAGTTGAGGTGTTTGGCTGCTCTTCCAGGTTTAATTCTGAGAAGAGGAAAAAAATGAAATGTAAGAAATATTAGAAGCAGATTTTAATCCACATTAACTGTAGAGGATTATTTCTTTTCTGTTTTTTATTATTCATTTATTCACATGTGCGTACATTGTTTGGGTCATTAGAATATTATTACAAACAAGTGTTTTACATTCATTTACATGGTGCATTCGGATACCATGAGCTGAAAGTGACAGAGTCTGACAACAGTCACTTGAAGCTTAAAGGCATTTACTGCTAACTTAATCAGAAGTCATTCAGCATCTCAGTGATTTCATTAAGTACCTACCCTGTTTCTATTGCTCTTCATTCTTTTTTTATTTCTTAGAGATCTTGATAACTTTTCCAATTTAAAATGTATAACATTATGTTTCCTTTTAGTAGAGACACTTAAGCTGTGTTATTCTTCCTTCCTTCCTCCTTCCCTCCCTTCCTTTCTTCCTTCCTTCTTTTTGACACAGGGTCTCCCTATTGATCCCAGGCTGGCCTCAAACTTGCAGTCCTCCTGCCTAAGCCTCCAAAGTTCTGGGCTTACAGGTCACACCACACCCAGCTTGTCCTTTTCCCCCTCTTTCCCTCCTTCCTTTATGGATTTCTCTTTAAAGATAGGGTGGGACTATATTTAGAGACTGAGAGGCAGGAAGTAAAGCACAGAGAAAAAATGGAGATACCAGAGAGACAGTAGATGAACGATAAGCTATCAGATGTTTTCTTCTATACCTATGATTGCTGAGGTGACTGGAATAGAAAAATTAATGGGAATCTTAAGGTTTTGTTCTGACATGGTTATGGAAATGAAGTAGTTTTGGGTCTTTTCAGATGTTATCCACTAGACCACAATCTTCCTATTTTTGCTTCCCACATAGCTGGAATGACAGGCATGTGCCACCATATCCAGCTTTATTACTAAGATCTTAATTTCAGAGTGCTATGGTTTGAATGTTTGTGTCATATATTGTAACCTAAGATTCAATGCTATAGTACTAAGAGGTGGGCCCTTGGGAAGTCACAAGGACTCTGTCCTCAAGGATGAATTAGTATCCTTATAAAAGGGCCTGAGAGAACTACTTAAGCTCTTTTGTTATCCTTCCATCTCTTCTGCCACACGAAGACACAGTATTCTCTTCTCCAGAGGACACAGAATTCAAGATGCCATCTTGGAAGCAAAGAATGAGCCCTCACTAGGCATCAAACCTGCCAGTACCTTGATCTTAGACTTTTCAGCCTCTGTAACTGTAAGAAACAAATTTACACTCTTTATAAGCTACCCAGTCTTTGGTATTTTGTTATAGCAGCAAAAACAAACTAAAACACAGGGTCTTAAGTATAAGAATTTCAATTTGATGAGAGTGTTCAATTATTTTCCAGAGTGTTAGTACCAACTTATATCACCATCACCAGGTTGGAAGCATGGCTCAATTGGTAGAGCATCTACCTAGCAAGTACAAGGCCCTGAGTTCAAAACTCAGTACTGTCAAAATAAAACAAAAACAAAAAATGCAGTATCACCATCACCAATAGTAAGAGTTCCTGTTGTGGAGCGGTAGTTTTGGAACTATGCTTCTCAGGGTCCTGAGGGCAGCATAATACTCTAAACTTCTATACCCTTTGTGGCCAGAGCAGCTACGCTTCAATTTATTTTACATAATTGAAGAGATTTGAAAAAAAGGTTTTGCTGCTTCAAAAAGTTGTTTTAAAACTGGGCATTTAAACACTCCTTAATCCCAGTACTTGAAGCTGAGGAAGAAGGGTGTGAGAGTTTGAGGCCAGCGTGGGCTACATAAAGAGACCCTGGATCCTGCCCTACCCACCCCCCCCAAAAAAAAGCCATAAGAAAACTAAACAAACAAAAATTTAAAATGTGAAAAACAAATACTCTGAAGAATAAATCATTTCTAGCTAGTACCCATCTTTCTTCCCAAAAGAAAAATTACTCAATGAAGAAACCCTTGAAAAGGCAACCTGTCATCTATAGAACATCTGAAGTCAAACAGTGGATAATCCACATTTTCATTTCCTCCTTGGCCAATTCTTTTAAATCTGATAAGGAGAAAGTGAAGAGGGTACTATAAGGCTCTCTGTCACCTCTCAGTTGTATTGGCAAATAAATTAACCACTTTTAGGGGGAAAAGTAGGTAGGGTATGTCTCCATAAGTATTTTTCAATACTTGTTTTAATGTTCTATTTTTATTTTTAAGTGTGAGAGAGAGCAAGTTCTAATATGCTCTCTTTTCTTTTAATCTGTCTAGCACAAATCAAGGCAGATATTCCTCTGCTTGCCTTAAGAGCAGTGCTAAGGATGTATAGCAACTTAATATCTACCCACCTGCCATGGCTCATTGTCTAGCTTCATTGCAGTTTGCTAGTTCTGCTCTAGGCCATTATAGGTTGCTAAGCAATAATCCTAGTGCTTGCATAGTCCCCACTGATACACAGAATGGAAGTAGATGTGTGTTTGGTTACAACTCTAGTTGAGCACTTCTCTTTTAAGCCATAAAACCAAGAAAAATAAAAGAGGCACTGCAATAGTAGGCTCAATAAATCAGGATTCTGAACAAGTCTATCCAAAGCTGTCTTTTGACTGGGTGACCTCTGAGCTCAAGGATCATAAATTACCAAATTACCCCAAGAGCAATTTAACTTAGAAGTTTTATTGAATATAATTTCAAACAGGTACTGGGTTTTTCAGTAGTTCTGAGCTTGGACATTACTAAATTTCTTACAGATAAACTGATTGGTTAATTTATAGATTCACTAAACAAATAATTATTTATTTCTCACTAGGTGCCCAATACTATGCTAAGCAATGGAATTCTTTTTCGAGATCAATTTTCTAAACTCTTCCTAGAATTAAGAGCCCTTGAAACCTTCACCAACATGCATACTTTCACCTCTCTAACTATTAGTCAATCTTGTAACATACAAAGACCTATTCAGGTACTATGGGCGTAAATGCTTTCAATTAAATAAGTAGGTACACAAAAGAATTCCTTGTTCATAATTTGAAAGGTCTAGTCTTATAAGAGATTTTTAAAAAATCATTTCCTGTTCTTAGGGCATGGTCCACTGCTGGGCATAGCCTCAGTACAAAATCTTTAAGTATATAAATGGTATGGATTATAATTCACATTTCAATGAGCCTTAGCAGGCTTTTTCTAATGTTATGTAATGTTAGTGGAATCGGCTGCTGATTAAATTGGTAAAAATTGACCCAGTAGAGTTATTCAACAAATTGTACATGATGTTCTTCTTTAAATTAGGCCCAGTCTGAAACTTAGCTGCTTTGTTCTTTTTATCAACATTTGTACATAATGTAAATGGCTACTATGAAAGAATGGGAAGAAGCAATACTAAACATTAGTGGAATTGAAAAGGCAGTTTTTTACAAAACTTTGCTAGTCTTAGGGCTTGTATAATGAGCTAGGCAAACTGATAGTTAAAAAAAAGGATTTCTCAAAATGCAAGTTAAACTCATAGCTGAAAAAAAGAATAATCAATAAAATGATCTGACACAGTACATTTAACCACAGTGTTTTCTATGCAAAGACAAGTGTTTGAATGCATTTTGGGAGTTGTGTGGCAAGGATCCACCACTTTAATTTTGACAAGTATATAACAAGGATTATGACACTTCCTTTGACATGTTTAAGTTGCAATAACAGTTCCTCTTCCCACTTTTAAAAAGTTTCTCTTCTCATTTTTTAAAATAGATGCTATGCTATATGTATATAAATGCACACATACACATGTTCAGAAAGGAAGGTTTCAAAATGTAAGATGCAATGGTGCTGATTACTGAATAAAAAGGAACATGGCATAATCTTAACAAGCAACTGCAATGTTTTCAGTACATATTATACACTGAGATGAACAGAACAATAAACAAAACACACTGCCCTCTACTACACACCAAAGAGAAAATGAAAGTACCACAACAGGAAAGTCCACCAAGTATTGGTGGTTGTTTTCTGTTGAGGCAATAAACTCCATGATGGAATATATGTGTGAGTTTTCATGGGTGCAGATTTGGCCATAAACTACAGTGAATTCCTAATTAAATTTTTAACAAGTTACCTTGATCACAATTCTGTTGGGTATGTTTAAAACGAAAGACTTAATTTATAAATGTGCCCCAAGTGATTAAAGAAAAGGCAAAGTATGGGGCACTGTGGTGGAAGGGTGGGGTGACAAGGAAGTAAAATCAGGAAACTAAAGAATGGAGTCAGGTGGAAGACTATAGGTAATGACTTACCAGGAAGATTTTTGTGTGTGTGTCTGTGTGTGTGGCCTTGGGGACTGAACCATGACCTTGCACATGCTTAACAGGTGCTCTACCACTAAAGCATACCCCTACCCTCAGGAAAACTTTTATAATTTAGAAAATATTTTCAATAATTATTATTTTAATTCCGCCTAGCTCAGGCTACCACATAATAAATATCTAACACTTGTGAATTGAATTTAAGGGAATTATAGTGAAGTTGTTAATTTTTTTTGGCAGAACTGGGAGGTTAAACTCAGGACCTCTTATTTGTTAGGCAGGCACTCTGCCTTTTGAGCCACACTCTCCCAGTCCTTTTTGATTTGGTTATTTTTGAGATAGGGTCTTGCATTTATGCCCAGGAGGGCCTGGACTCCAATTCTCTGATCTCTTTCTCCTGAGTAGCTAGAATTACAGTTGTGATCTTGATATCATAAAAATTACAATCTTAAATATTGGCAAAATCTTAAATATAAAGAATTTCTGTTGGTAGAGAATTTCACTAAGTATATAGAATTAGAAGTGGCTGTAGTGAAGATGAATCTTGTCCACTCATTGCCTTTTTGATCCTGTAAAATTTTATTCTGCATAATTATATGTGGAATTTAGGTAAAGGATAGGGTTAGGAGTCAAGCTTTGGATCAAACAGAATAAATGTTGGTCAAGAATAGAAGTAAAGTTAGTTCAAGAAGAATTAACTTAGAAGGTAACACACATGTACAGGAAATTAATGTGAGTCAACTCCCTGTATAGCTATCCTTATCTCAACTAGCAAAAACCCCTGGTCCTTCCTATTATTGCTTATACTCTCTCTTCAACAAAATTAGAGATAAGGGCAAAATAGTTTCTGCTGGGTAGTGAGGGGTAAGGGGGAGTAAGGGAAGGGGGGGACCCAAACATTGTATACACATATGAATAAAATAAAAATTAAAAAAAAGAATAGAAATAAAAAGAATAAAAAACACAAAGAAAAAAATTGAAATTGGTACAATGAATCTCCCTTGTCCAATGACCATATGGTAAATAAAAATGAAAAAGAAAAAGTAAAAGAAAAAGAAGCAGTCCAAATCACTAGAATTCTTTACCTTATTTTTATATCAATGGGTTTTCTGGTAGGCATCAGTCAGATTTCTTAACTAAATTTTCTCTTTTATTAAGTAGTACAGGATGAATAGTCATAAAGTTTCCTCAAAAGTATAATAGAGGGTGAAGGGAATTCACTTGAAATTATTTCCTAAATTTAATTTAAAATACTCCCCTGGAATTGTATTTTTAAAATGCAAAATCTAGAAGAATATGTCCCCAATGAAAATTTAATGTTAGTTTTAGATTCTATTGGGTATTGAGAGAGACTACCTTGGGATTTTATTTCATCCTTTGCTTCTTCCACCACATGGCTGCAGGGCTCTGTTGCAGAAACATCTGGTACACTCTGTGAAGTCTGAAAGAAGGAAAGAAATACCAAATTCAAAATGAGCTGCTTTTCCTCAAAGTTGCATCAACTCTCCCAACTAAAGGGGAATTCATTACTTTGTAGTAATGAAATTACTTTTCAAAAAAAAAGTAAATTACATTTACTTTTCTTAGGATTTAATATTGTATATTAGAAGTAAAGCAGTTGCAGTCTATTTACTGCATTGACAACATATCTTCTCATCCTCCTTCTGCTAACAAAGCAATATGCTAGAAATGTCATTCCAGTTGTACATTAATCATTGAATTATTTCCACAAACATAATTTGAGACCATATCATAGTGAAGTCAAACTTTTGAAAATGTTATTTTAAAAAAAACTACCTTCTGTGTTTGTGGTGGAAAAAAAACCATTTCATCTTAACTGAGGAAATTAAAAATTAATTTTATGAATAATGATATAAAATTGAATTTTGTACTTTTTTTGGTTAGAGATAGGGTCTCTTTATATAGCCCAGGCTGCCCTCAAATTCATGATCTTCCTGCCTCACCCTTCTGAGCACAGGGATAACAGACACATACCACTATGCTAGTTTTACTTTTTTTTTGGCAGTACAGGGTTTGAACTCAGGGCCTGGAGCCTACTGGCAAGCACTCTACTATGTGAACCATGTCCCTAGCTCTTGATTTCACTTTTTGTACTCTTGCTGATGTACTTTATTTTTTTGGTGGGACTGGTGTTTGAACTCAGGGCTTCATGGTTGCAAAGCAGGCACTCTACTGCTTGAGCCACACCTCCAGCCCATTTTACTCTGGTTATTTTTGGACATGGGGTCTCACAGACTATTTGCCCTGGCAGGCCTTGAATCTCAATTCTCCAAATCTTAGCCTCCCAAGTAGCTAGGATTATAGGCATGAGCCACCAGCTCCTGGGTTGCTGATGTGCTTTAAAAATATAGCACAAAATATAGGATATTTAAAAAATTCATATTAATCAACTTAGTGTGAGTCTATATAACTATTTTTAACTACCTTGATTTCTATAAAATTTCTCCACCATATTTTATTTTCTTAAACACAAAGTTACTTAAATGGTTAACATGTAAACTACATTTTCAACATGGTAGTGGTTACCATAAAAACTGGAGGTTACTCTACAAAGGGTAATAGTTCTGATTTCAGGAAGTAAAATTTATTTATCTGTATTTTATAATAACTTTACACAGCTTTACCTGTCTCTGAGAGCTTTCTGTAACTGACTGAAATGGATTAGTTTAATAATCAACATGAGTTTGCCTTTTTTCCATTTATTATTTATTTATCTTTTTGAACACCTACATTTTTCTTTTTGTTCGTCATTTGAAAATTAATTTATCTAGTTCACTATCCTGCATTAAGAACTGATTATTTATGACAACTCTACTTCAATAGGCTCCAGCACTTCTGTTGAGTCCTGTTTCTGTTCTTTGTCTTTCCCCCCATTTTCCTAAAATGGAAACAGCATCAGTAAGTATCATTTAAAGGGAGCAAGAGATTAAATGAGCAATACTTAATACTCTAATACAACAAGTTTCTTCTTTAAAATTCTCACATAATGAATACATACTACTCCAAACACAATTCCACCAAGTTAGTTACACTAACAGTCAAAACTACTTGTATATTATAATTAAGGAATGCCAACAAAGTAGAAGCAGATCACTGTGACCAACCATTATTTTGATCCCGACTCCCTCCCCCAGCAACTTCTATCAAAACCTGATCCAGAATATTTCAACTAAAAAAGAGAAATAATTTAGTGACAATAATATGATATTGCAGCTCAATTTTCCCAAGAACATTGAATGTCACTTGATTTTAGCCAAAAGACAGAAATGATAGAACAATGAATTTCAAATCCTCTCATAAATCATTAAAAACCAATGTAGGCCAGTAACCTGAGCAGATTTGGGATCCCCTTGGGATGCTGACTCACTCATCTTGACCACTAAAAAATATCATCAAATAGTATGAAAAAGTAATAAATACCAGATGAGTATTGATAACAAAAAGAAAAAAAAAAGAAATGTTAATACACAACTTAAAAGTACTCTGAAAGATAAAAATCTCCCTCACCCCCACCCCCACTGCACCCTGCCATTCTATTGAACGGTCATAAATTCTCAACTGCTAAAGTTTTCAAACTGTACTACTGTTATTACTGTTACTGATCAAAGCTAGCTCAGTGCTAGACTAGTGCTTAGGGAGATGAGGAAACTCATAGTAATTATCACCGTTATCACTTTTTATAAAACCTAGCAATAATAATGCAAATGAATTTCTTAAACATTTTCAGTCTCATTAATTTTTAAAATAGTAATCAAGGTAAGGGAAAGTGAAGGTTTGATGGTTACATGATCACGTGAGAAAGGAAGATTATAGAATAATAAAGTCTCTAAAAAGCAGCTTTTTGTTTTTTGGTGGAAGGAAATCATACTCTAGGAGGAGTATGATTTATCTAGTTTATTTATTCATATTGAGGAATTTAAGTGAATAAATGACTGAAGTTTGAGCCACAAATTATAAAATCACTGCTGTGTCAAAAATCATTTAAGAGTTCAAATACATATGCGTTAGGTGCGATGTGAAAAGTAAATTATAGAGCTAGGGATGTGACTCAAGTGGTAGAGCACCTGTCTAGCAAGAGTGAGGCCTTGAATTCAAACCCCTGTACCACCACCACCAAAAAAAGTAAATTATAGCCTGGTATGGTGGCACAAATCTGTAATCCCAGCACTGAATAGGGCAGAGGCAAGAGGATCACTAGTTTGAGGCCAGTGTGGGCTAGATTGTGAGACCCTGTCTCAAAGGGGATAAAAGAATAAATTATACACATGTGGTCTTTGGGCAGTTACAGTCTAGGAACACCTTAATTTGAAAGAGTACATGTATAATATTGTGGAGTGTTCACTTTGTTTTTTATCAATATAATATTCTAATTGAATAAACAAAAAGTACTACCTTTGGAGACAATAGATTCCAACATAAAAATAGCTTCTTTGAAGCCTTTTAAAGCAGTTCAGAAATATATATATGATAGATATCTATGATAGGCCCCAAATGTGCATTCTTTACTTATGGAGTCCATCTTCTGAAGTTGCTCTAAGTAGTATCCTTCCATTTCCTTTAAAACCTGTTTTGTTTGGATATACCCAGATGAATGCAATTCCGTAACCTACATTGAGTGCCTACTATATGCAGGCAGATGCTGGGGTTAAAAAAGATGAATACACTCACCTTGGAAGAGTTCCCAGATCCCAACTGAACCTGCAAAGTACGACAGTAGAAGTACCTACAACTTGTTAAGGAATGGAAAGGAATAAGCAATTAATTTTCTCATAGCAGCCAGGAAAAAGTTTTCATAGAGAAATAGACTTCCAAACCGGACTTTAAAAGTCTGGCAAGAAATTTTTGTGTAAAGAAGGAGGGAAGGATATTTGAAACAAGGAACAAAAAACTTGAGAGTATGAAAGTTTAAAAAGTGACATGTCTGCCTGTAATCCGAGCTACTCAGAAGGCAGAGATCAGGAGGATTGTGGTTCAAAGCTATCCCAGGCAAATAGTTCAGGAGACCCTATCTCGAAAAAACTCTTCACAAAAAAAGGGCTGGTGGAGTGGCTCAAGGTGTAAGCCCTGAGTTTAAACCCAGTACTGCAAAAAAAAAAAAAAAAAAAAGTGACATGTTCATGTAACAGAACATAGTTATGTAAAAATGACAGAATATGAGACTAACAAAGGTAATTACAGTCAGTATATAAACAATTATTCATGCTAAAGCAAGCAGGGATATTATTCTGTGCTTTTTTCTGGTGGACTGGGATTTGAACTCACTTGCAAAGCAGGCACTCTTACTTATTGAGCCACACCTCCGGCCCTATTCTGTGCTTTCTAAGGACGGGACAGATGTTATCAAAATGGTGTTTTTAAAAAGTTAATTCCCGAAGCAACACAGAGGGCAGGCTAAAAGTGTGAAAGGCTTGGGAAAAGGAGAATGAACGTAAATTTTGCATTTTGAGTTTCCCCTCCAAGGTGAATCCTCACTGCCCCTTGCTCGTGTCTGGGCTCTGCCAGCCATTTGTCCGTACACCAAGCACACCCCTCAGCTTCACCTTCTCAGTACCTACAGTGGCTCTGACTGCAGGCACCTGCAATGCTGCCTAAGGCTTTCTACAAGTCAAGTATGTGGCCAGGCAAGAAGCGCATGGGACTTAATATCCACAGAGAAGTCCTCAGCCAGTGATGAATACGGAATTGGGAACAGCCCTGTGGGTGAGAATTTCTGAGATATGTTTTATACTGCTTCCCAGAGTTCCCCAGTGGTGTTGAGCCTCAGGATAACTAGCCCAATAAAGCATTTATTTGGCTCTCTTCACTTCCTTGTATTACTTTCCTACTCTCTAACAATGTTAGCTGGAATCACCTCCCAGATGAACTTGCACTGAAATCCTTAGGTTAGGTTTTTTTTTCCTCCCTGGGGAAATCCTAACTAAAACAAATATAATCATTAGGAGTGAAAGAAGACTAATTAGGGGCTCACTGAGTGTTCTTTTCTTTTTCAGAAAGCCAAACGGTGAAATAAAGGAAAAGAAAGAAGAAAAGATTTGAAGAATGTGAAATGATGAGTTCATGTTTGGAGGTATTACAGTTAAGATACCAGCTGAGTTGCCTGATGATTTAAGTTTCCAGTAGAAGTCTGAAGGCCAGTGAAACATATTATGAATTATAGGCAGAAAATTATGCAGAATTTGTTCATTAGAAAATGATGGATGGCACTACCCAGTTAGAACAGCATTGCCTTGCATTTTAATTACTTAAGGCACATAGAACTCTGTACACCTCCTCCCTACCCATGAGCTCCTAGAGTCATTCCCCTTAGGTTGCTGGCTGCAACACAGGGCTTCTATGGATCTAGTTAAGAACCCTCCACGCTCACTCCCATAGATTTGTAACTTGGTGAGTTGCAGCATTTGGCATCTTGGTGTGCAGACTGCCAATCATAGATGACAGAATAGCCAATTATTCTTAAAAAGGGAGTTTCTAAGTGTAGGAAAGAGAGCAAAAGTCATTCTGATTACTGAGAATTAATAAAAGATAAGAACTGTCTTTGACTTAGAGTTTGTGTGAGCCTTGAAACTTAAGTATTGATAGAAAGGTACATTCGCAGGATGATGCTAGTAGAGTACAATCCACTGAGGAAAACAGTGAGGTGGAAAAAGATTGAAGATAAACCATTGGTGACAAACGCTTAAAAGTGTTATTGAGAAAGAAGGGCCAGTAAAGGATCCTGATGAAGAACCTGTAGGTCATAGGAACCAGGAAACTGAGTTTGCTTAAGGTCAATAGTGTCATATGCTGAAGTACTGCCAAAAACAAACAAACAAAAACAACAAAAAAAACCCCAAATAGTTATATTGTCAAAAAATCCCAGTTCTGCCAAAAATAATCCCAAATAGTTATATTGATAATAGTTATAGTGATTAATGTAGTAATAGTTATTAGATTAATATATAACTAGATTATATATTTCATATAGGCTATAATTAAAATTAATAATCTTAGTGCTACTATAAATATTAAAGTAACTATTAAAATAATTACAATGAAAGAACCTAGTGGAAAGGTAGATAGTATGTATAAAGAGTTAGGTATTTTCAGCAGAGATGGGAACCACAGAGAAAGCCAAACAGAAATTCTGGATATAAAAATCGTAATATCACAGATGAGGAATTCCTTTGAAAAGTTTGTTAGTAAACTAAACTCAGCAGATAAATCAAGCAATAGCTTTGAATGTAGGTTAAGTGAAATTACTATGCCTGAAACTAAAGTGAAGGAGAGTGAGAAAAAATAACAGCTATGGAAAAATACTAAATGGTTTAACTTACAAGTAATTAGACTACCAGAAAAAAGTAGGATGTAAGAAATTTGAAGATAAGTGTAACTCATTTGGGACCCCTCCCTATCTCATGTGGGAGCTTTGTCCTTTGTCTTAATAAACTTCTTGCCTATACACCACCCCAAAAAAAAGAAGAAATTTGCTGATAAATGGCTGACAATTTCCCAAATTTTATGAAAGACAACAAATCATAGTTCTAAGAAGCTTAAAAAATTCCAAGCAGGCAGGGTGCCAATGGCTCATGCTTGTAATCCTAGCTACTCAGGAGGCAGAGATCAGGAGGATCGAGATTCAAAGCCAGTCTGGGCAAATAGTTCTTGAAACCCTATCTTGAAAAAAACACATTGCAAAAAAGGGCTGGTGGAGTAGCTCAAGGTGTAGGCACTGAGTTCAAACCCCAGTACCACCACAAAAAAAAAAAAAAAAATCCAAACAGGATAATTCAAAAACACACCTAGGCACTAAAACAAAACAAAACACTGAAATCTAAAGATAAAGATAAAATACTGAAGAAGTCAGAGAAATAAAAAACATTACATAGTAGAAAAAAAATAAGGTTGATTCACTTCTCAACAGAAACTATACAAGCCAGAAAAAATAATAGTGGCATCTCCAAAATATTGAAAAGAAAAAAACCCCTAAAAACCTGTCAACTCAAAATTTTATATAGAGTGATAATACATTTCAGAAAAAAAGGTAAGAAAAAGAAAGAAGGAAATGATTTTTCAAACAAAAGCTGAGAGAATTCACCACTAGCAGACTTGCACAAAAGTTAAAAGAAATTTTTTAGACAGAAAGAATATAATACCAGGTAGAAATCTGGATTTAGATATGAGAATGAAGAGTGCTGAAATGGTACAAATGTGGGAAACAAAGACATCTTATTTTTAAATCATCTTTAAAAATAACTGGCTTCCTAAAACAAAAAATAGTAAGAATGAGCTGGGCACTGATGGCTCACATTTGTAATCCTAGTTACTGATGAGGCAGAGATCAGGAAGATTGAGGTTCAAAGCCAGCTCTGGCAAATAGTTCTTGAGACTCTATCTTGAAAAACACCCAACACAAAAAGGGTGGTAGAGTGGCTCAAGTGGCAGAGTGCCTGCCCAGCAAGCGTAAGGCCCTGAGTTCAAACCCCAGTACTGCCAAAAAAAAAAAAAATGTAAGAATATATTATAGAATATATAACATTTGCAGAAGCATACTATTATTTGGTAATAATAGCAGAAAGAATGGGAATGTAAGATTTATACTATAAACTTCAGAGCAACTACTAAAATATAAAGATAAGGGAAAAAAGGAATACAATTGATGTCATTAGTAGAAACAAAAGGAAATTAAAAAATCAATCTATAAGAAGGAAGGAAAAGAAGAAACGAAAGATTATCAAGATTAGGTAGAACAATCCATGCATATTGAAAATTACATTAAGGTATGGGGGTGTGGCTCAAGTGGTAGAGGGAATCCCTGAGCTCATACTCCAGTACCACAAAAAAAAAAAAAAAAAAAGCAGCAGAAGAAAAACAAGAAAGTTACATTAAATTCCAATGGGCCAATGGTCTAAACATTCTAAAGAAACAGGATCAATAGCACAAACAGGTAATCCTAGCTATTTGAGAGGCTGAGGACAGGAGGATCACTTGGGTCCAGGAGTTTGAGGCCAGCCTATGCAACATAGACTTTGTCTCAAAAAAAAATAATTAGAAAAAATATACCATAATACAAGCCTAAATTAAATAAAACCTGGAGTGACGACATTAATATAAGACATATTACTAGAGAGCTTCCATCAGCAGTCATAAAATAATCTTTTTTATAGTCACATAACCAATATTGGTAAAACAGTAACAACAATAGTAGTAGTAAAATTTAACACAAAATTATGTGGGCTGCAGAATTATGTTAATTGAATGAACAGCCAGTTTATTCATGTTAGGGACACTAACTGGAAAGAAGAACTGGAATGGGGACAATCAGCTAACTAGGAGACTGAGACTTTCAAACTCCTGAATCACTTTTTCTCCCGCTAAGGAAAAAAGTTTTGTCTTCCTGTATTTGAGGAGAACAGCCATCTCTTAATTGAAAACATTGTAATAATCTTATCTGGAGCAGGTGCCTTGCAAGGAAAAGCCTATTTTCCTCAAGACCTACCTAGCGACTTATTACTGCTAAATTCATAACTAAAACTGGATTTTAAGCTGCTCCAGCAGAGCAAATGCAAAGCCTGACTGGAAAAGAAATAACGTTTATATAAAAATTTTCACTATTTGCGTATATATTGGCAGAAACCCAGATAATGAATATATGTGAGAGTATATTATAAGGAAGTTAAATCAAGGACAGAATATAATACTGGATTGGGCAGAATTTATTGATATGGGTGCATTTATCAGCTATAACAGATAAAAGATTTAATGTGTTAGCACTTATAGCTGAAAGTGACACTAACCATTTATTTGTAAGTTCACTGAAACTTGGACTCCACAGGAGCCTGTGTTTAATTAAGTTGAGATACCAATTTCCTGGAATAAATGTAGAGAAAGTCCAAAGGCTTAGGGAGATAGGCATGTTGGAATGGATTTATCACATATGACCTGCACATCTCCTTCCTCCAACACTGTATAAATCCAAGCATACTTAGGGGACATCCCTTTACTAAGGCACTGATAAATATATTAGCAAGATGGATTGCCTGTGTCTCTGTGTGTATATATGCACATACTCATGTTTTTGTCATACACACATACATATATGCTAAAATATGAGTTTAATCACCATGTCCAACCTCTCATCCACTTCTCAACTGAAGGGAAGGATGGGTTCCTTTAAGGAACACTCACTCACTGCAGCACTGCCACTACTATATACTGAAAATCTTCCTCCAAGTGTCCACAGAGGCTGGTGGCCATTTCCTACAATGACTTTGTGCTCAGGCAAAGAAATATCCAAGTTTTCCAGGGATTTCTAAATACTAGCTCTAAATCAATGTTAATTCTTGGGACTCAAAATACTATTGTGACCATCAGTTTAAGTTTTTATCAGTTTCCTATCAGTCAAGTGCTTGTGATGGCCAGGTAAGAGATGGAGTCTTAACTCAAGTTTGAATCACAGTGAGCCAGGTAGGACTGTAGAACCACTATGTGATAAATTAATCATTTTTGAATGTATAATTAGAATAAAGATACTGGTAATTGGCAGAACATTCCTATTTTCTCTCTGATCCTAGAATAAAGACCATCATCATATAAAAGGCCAAGTTGAAGCGTGCGGTAGTAAATAAAAAATACCCCTTGTTTGGGGTGAAGGAATAAGGGATTGCAAATATTAATGACAACCACAAAGGTGATGAAGTCTATCTCATGCTGATTTAACTTACCTGTTTGGCCCATGAAAGAAGCGAACAGATCTTGGAGAATGACTGTAGATTACTGTAAATTTAATCGAGTGATGTTTCTATTTGAAGCTGCTCTTTTTTGGTGGGACTGGGGTTTAACTTAGGGCTTAGCACTAGCAAAGCAGGTTCTCTACCACTTGAGCTATACCTCCAGTTCATTTTGCTCTGATTATTTTAGAAATGGGGTCTCAAAAACTATTTACCTGTGCTGGCCGTGAACCGCCATCCTCCCGATCTTTACAGGCATGAGCCACCAATGCCCACTCCATATGTAGTATTTTTTTTTTCTCAGTATTGAGGTTTGAACTCAAGGCCTACACATCAAGCCCTTTTTGTGAAGATCCACAGCTCGCCCCCCCCCCACACACACAATAGGGTCTCGGGAACTATTATGCTCGGGCTGGCATTGAACCATGACCTTCCTGATCTTTGCCTCCTGAGTAGCTAGGATTACAGGTGTGAGCCATCAGCGTCCAGCCCATATGTAATGTCTTTACTGGAACAAATCAACTCAGCCCCTGGCACCTGACACACGGCGACTGACCTAGCATATGCTTATTTCTCCATATAAATTGGCAAGGGATATCAGAACAGTTTGCTTTTACTTGTGAGGGTCAACAATACACATATTAGGCATCCCTTATCCAAAATGATTGGGGCCAAAAGTGTTTCTGATTTCTCATTTTTTTTTTCAGGTTTTGGAAGATTTGTATACACATAATGAAACATCTCTGGAATGTGGCCCAAGTCTAAACATGGAATTCATTTATACTTCATATATACCTTATGTATACGGTCAAAAGGTTACATAGCATTTTAAGTAATTTTGTGCATGAAACAGCTTACTGATATGGAACTTCCCACTTTTGACATCATGTTGACTCTCAAAAAGTTAGATTTGAGAGTATTTTGGATTTCAGGTTTTCAGATTAGGGATAGTCAACCTGTACCTTCACAGTCTTGCCTTAGGGCTATGTCATTTCTCTTGTTCTTTCCAATAGTATAGTCTACAAAGATACTGACATCTTGACCATCACATTGATTCAGTGATAACATTGTTGACTCTGCTAATTGTATGGGAGAACCAGGAAGTAGCAAGATCTCTGTCTGAGATATGCAAATAAGAGGATGGGAGATAAACGCTGTTCCTAGTATCAATTTCTGAACCATTCAAGTGCCAGCTATTAAATTGTCTCAGCTCCAAAAACTCACCTTCTTTGAGCTAAGATTAATTTTTTTTGCTTTGCTAACTTGTTTCTTTCTTCCTTTTTTTTTTTTGGGTGGGGGACTGAGGTTTGAACTCAGGGCCTCATCTGGCTCCTAAGTGCTTCTTGTAGTCTCTTGGGTCAGATGTGCTTTGTCCTATTAAGGCTTCATTGTAGTAGCATCATTCCTTTTTGTAGCAATAGCTAAATCCACTCTGTACTTTTTATTTAGTTCTGTGGTATTCATTGACTCAAAGACACAAATACCAGTTAGCCAGTGCTCCTGCCTCAAAGGTCTGGGTCCTACAGAGCCTCTCCTCTAGGCCCAGAAGCCCTAGAGACCTGAGTTTTAGCTCTGTGGGGCCACTCCCAAGTTTTTCCTTTTGATTTCCAGTCCCCCTTTTTTGGAGTAGTGTTAGGGATTGGACCCAGGCCTCATGCATGCTAGGGAAGCACTCTCCCATGGGATGTGCTACAACCCCAGCCCAACTGGTGTGTTTTCTATTTCCTGTCTGGACACTGACAGTTAAATGAAGTTAGTGAAAGGTTATTAAAATTTAAGAAACCTTACATCCAGGTAGAGGCAACACAAAACTCAATCTCACACTCCAGTCATTTTTAGCTCTTATATATTCTATCTGTCCTATATTGATTTATACTTGCAACCAAGATCAAGTCATTTCAATGTTTGAGAGGTTTGGTTATCAAGAATACAATGTTTTCTTCTTTTTAAACTTCCCCTTCCCTCCCATTTTTCACGCTTTGAACAAGCTTATCTATGTAAATCTTAGTCATACTTCATTTGGTGTGTGATGAACGAGTTACAGACATACTGCAAGACAGTTATCTATTCAGCTCTAGGAATGACCTGGAGAAAACTGGAGTGGTTATTACTTCTAGGTAAGTTACTCTTAGCCAGAAACAGTGTGATCCTGTGATTCTCAGAAAGCAGCCCATAGGTATGACGCCTCATCCTTAAGTATAGCCCAAGGTCCCACTGGGTAGCAAGCACAATGAAAGGCTTGCTGAGCACAGCAGAAGAGTATTCTATCACCAGATCATCACTTTCAGAAAAGCCAGGTATGGTGCATATTGCTGCCCATCATGAACAGTGAGTTTTAGAACTACCGGTACCAAGCAGCCGACTCACAACTGCGACTCACAACTTCAGGTGTGGCCAGGAAAGGTGGAGAAGCCTGAAAGAGACTTCTATGTGATTCAGCACCCAACCTCTCTCTTTATATATATATTAAGTGTTCATATATATTAAGTTATTAATATATATTGTTTTATTTATGTCCTTCTAGTTCTGTCGAAGTTGGCTGCATAATTATTGCTGTAATAACACAGATATACCCTGCAAATTAGAGATTTGTCATTATTTTGTAATATATAGTTGATACAAAGAGTTTGAGTAGATTCTAAATACGGCCACATTATGTTTGCTGATTGGAAAAAAGTAAGAGCTGTAAGAGACAAATAGAATTTATACTTGTAAATTTTGAAATATGGCAAAATTGTTTTACGTTTTTTAAGTACTTGTACAAACCAAGTTCTTGTAAGTAATGACTTCCAAGAATTTGAAAAGATCATCATTAAATTATCTTGCTCAGGAACTGTACACAGTGATTTCAATCATAAAACTTTACATTAAAACATGTTATGTTTATAGAAGGAATCTCTGTTCTTCATCAAATTAAAAAAATATTTTATTTGGAAACACAAATTTCCTATCATCCTTAATATATTCATTTTAATTTTTCATTGAAAGTATATGATATAAAGAAATTTTTTTTCAGCAAATCCTACATCGTTGTCTCTAAATACCTTTTAAGTTATCCCAACATGCTGTACAAATATTATTTCTACCAGTATCATGATGTGAAAAAAGGTTGAGAACCACTGCTTAACCTGAGGACCCTCAATGAATTTTAGTGAGTGTGTAAAACATGCAGGTGCATCTTTCTGGAGAAAAGTTCAATAGTTTTCACTAAGTTCTCAAAGGAGCTTTGAAATCTCAGGGATTTCATGTTCCCCTATAGAAGGAATGGTATAAGTTAATAGACTCCAGTGGCACAACCATGCTTCCTGTATCACAGGTGGGAAGGGAGGGTGTGATAAATAGAACCAGGACTTTTGTCTCTTTGGCTCTGTCTGTTGAGAATATTGCTTTTGGCCTCTTTTTTCCACCTCAAATTCAGCTAGCATAGTAAGAAGATTGTTGGATCTGTTAGTAGAGAGGAATTCTCACATCATCAGAAGATCAAGGAGGAAGTAGAGTAGAGCCCAGTAAAGAGTGCAGAGACAGTAGATTTCAAATTTCACATGTGATCCAGCCCAGTTCAAAAAGTAGCTATACTAGGATCTGTGGCTAAAGCCTCAAAGCCACTATCATGGAGTACATTTGCTCAGCCTGCCTCCTCTGTTTCTATAGAACTTTGCACATATCTACATTTTTCCTATTCCCCTATATATATCAGAGGTGACCCAAACCACAGTACCACTAAACTATACTGTAATGATTTGTTGATGAGTTTTTCCCCGCTCATAGGCTATAAGCCCTTGAGAGGTAGACAAACATTTTGTTCTTAAGACAGTATCTAGTATGTAACACATTTCATATTTTTTCAACTGTTGATAAATAAACACACACCAATAACTTCCAAATCTTAGTTTTCTTAAATGGTAATATTGTACCAGAAAGAGGTATTTCCCTTGTAAATTAATAAATTAACTTCCTGATACAAACAAAATTCATGTGAATTTGGATACCTTATAACCTAATTTTGATCAAGATTTATCTTAGCTATGCAGAACAAAAATGGTCTACACTTACCTTTCAAATGAGAAGTGTCATGACCACTAAATATACTCCTACTGTTAAAAAATATATGAATTTTTTTTGTTCTTTTCATCTTCCTTTTCCTTGAAGTTATTTTCTGCACATAGGGAATATTCAACAAAAGCTGGCTGAACTTGGAGCAAATTATACAGAATACAAAGTTACCTTAATTACATACCGGAATGTTATCATACATTATCTCATTTGATCACAAGAATCCTGTGAGTGCTCTTTCCCATTAAGACACCTAAGGTTAATGACATTAGGTGTCTCACCTTCCAGATGAATTTCTTGAGAGTAGTTACTACATATAAGTAGATAATCAGTATTGCCATCCCTCAGTCAGTAAGGCAGTCAGTAAGACCTAATGATTTGAATACTACTTTTTTGTTTTGGTTTACAAACACATATTTCATTTCTTTGTGACTGTTCAGCTTTCACCTACATATATTTCTTGGCTTAGTTTCCTGTTTGGTCTCTTAAGCATTGGTTCAAAGTTCTTACTTCTGAACCTTGCCTTCTCTTTTCCTGTTTACTACGCAGCTCTGGGAAAGACAGAGTCAGTTGTTAACCTGTGAACCGTACATCTTTTGTTTAATTTTGTCTCACAGGCACTCTTGATCACCACCAGGGGGCAAAAGTCCACCAGCTGGTTTCTCTGCAGTACACTATAGAGGGCTGTACAGTATAGGGACCCTCAGTGTCTGATTCTTGATGGAACCTCCCTGCTAATTATTTCAACCACAAGGCCCCAGGGAGAGAACAAAGGCTCAGCACAGAGCGCTCTTGTGACACTTAACCGTACAGCAACCAGAAAGAGCTCATGACAGCCCTGTCAATTTCCAAGGAGCAATGAGAACCAAGAGTGTCAGAGTGATAAACAGGAGGTGGGCTTTAATAATTGCCAACTCCTGAGTGTACGCGTTTTCTACAGCTCTGATATCTATGTTGGTATCTACCAGCTCATCCACGCAAACGCAGAAGTAGCTTTGCCAACTCTCTGTGTAAAGAATCCAAAGGTGTTTGCATTGTGCGTTGTTTTTTTTTCCTTCTTACTCTAATGTTTTTCCATGACATTCTTGGCTGGTGTTGAGGGTTTACCTTTGAGAAAATTATTCCTTTAAAACGTTTTAAATCTTCCTGAAAGAATGAAAAGCTCAAGGAGCAAATGCTGTTGAC